ATAATTAAAAACTTACTAACAGAGAAAAGCACAGGTACTGATGGGTTCACAGATTAATTTTACAAGAAATTTAGTAAAGATGCAATGCCAATATTCCTCAAACTCTTTAATGAAATTGAAAGGTAAGCAATCCTCCCTAACCCATTTCTGGAGACACATATTACTCTGATACCAAAACCAGAGAAAAAATCTCTGCAAAAAACCAACCAAACAAAGAAACAAAAAAACTACAAGCCAATTTCACTATAAGCATAGATGTAAAAATCCTCAGTAAAACACTAGCAAACAGAATACAATAAATTAAGAAGATTATACACCATGACCAAGAGGGATTAGTCCCAGCAATGCAGGGATGGTTCAACATACACAAATCAATAAACATAATACACCATCTCAACATTGTCAAAGACAAAAATGACATGATTGTCTCAATAGATGCAGAAAATGCTTTTCATAAAGTCCAATACTCATTCATGATTAAAACTCTACAGAAAATTAGAATAGACAATCTTTATGTTAATGTGATAAAAGCCATTTTTGACAAACCAACAGCTAACATTATACTAAATAGATAAAATCTCAAAGCTTTCACTCTAAAATCAGGAGCAAGACAGGATGTCTACTATCGCCACTCCCATTTAATATAGTTCTGGAAATGTTAGCCAGATCAACTAGACAAGAGAGAGAAATAAAACACATAAGGGTAGGGAAGGAAGAATTTAAACTATCGTTATTTGCAGATGACATGATAGTCTACATAGAAGACCTCAAAAACTCCAGACTTCTAGATTTAATAAACAAATTCAGTAATGAAGCTGGATACAAAGTCAACACTCAAAAATCAGTAGCATTTCTATACGCAAACTAACAACTCACTGAGAAAAAATTAGGGAAACCACACCCTTCACAATAGCCTCCAAAAAAATGAAATACTTAAGAATCAATCTAACAAGGAAGTAAAAGATCTATACATTGAAAATTATAATACTCTGAAAAGATTAAAGAAGATATCAGAAAATGGAAAGATATCCCTTGCTCGTGGTAAGAAGAACCAACATTGTAAAAGTGGTCATACTCCCAAAACTGTTATACAGATTTAATGCAGTCTCAAGCAGAGTACCACTGGCATATCTCACAGATTCTAGAAAAAACATTCCAAAAATTAATTTGGAGAAAGAGACCTAGAATGGCAAAAGCAATCCTGGGCAACAAAGTCAAGGCAGGAGGCATCTCAATTCCTGACTTGAAATTATACTACAAAGCTACTGTGATAAAATCAGCATGGTATGAGGGGGGGAAAAAGCAGACTTGAAGATTAGTGGAACAGATTAGAAGATGCAGACAACTACAAACACACTCATCCAACCTTACATTTGACAAAGGAGCCAAACACGTTTACTGGAAGAAAGATAGCCTCTTTAATAAATGATGCTTAAAAAAACTGGCTTTCCACATGATGAAGACTAAAACTAGACCCATGCCTATCACCATGAACTAAACTAAAGTCAAATGGATCAAAGATTTATGTGTTAAAACAGAAACACTTAATCTACTGGAGTTAGGTAGAAATCTTTATGAGCATTCAGAGAGTTCATGAACAAAACACAAGCTGCATGGGATATACTTCAAAGAATCAACAACAGGGATCTCATTTAAAAAGCTTGTGTACATCAAAATAAATCAGCAATAGAGTGAAAAGAAAACCCACAGAGTAGGAAAAAATTTAGCTAGCTGTCCCTCAGACAAAAGACTTCTACCTAGAACATATAACGTACTGGAAAAACTTAGGTTCCCCAAATTTGAAGGCCCAATCCAAAAATGGGCAGCTAATATGAATAGACACTTCTCAGAAATACGAATGGCAAATAAATATATGAAAAAATGTTCAACATCATTGGTCATTCGAGAAATGCAAGTTAAAACAACACTGAGAATCTGTCTCACACCAGAAAGAAGGCTGTCATCATGAAATCAACCAACAACAAATGCTGGCAGATCTGTGGGAGAAAAGGAACCCTTCTCCACTGTTGATGGGAGTGCAGCCTCATAAATCACTGTGGCCATCAGTGTGGAGATTCCTCACAGAACTAGGATTAGAGGTTCCATTCCACCTAACTATTCCACTTCTGGATATTTTCCCAGAAGAATTAAAAACATCACATCACAGCAATATATGTGGACCCATGTTTACCGCAGCACAATTTAAAATAGCTAAATCTTGGAAACAACCCAAATACCCATCAACCAAGAAATGGATAAAAAAGCTAGGTACTGTTATACTATGGCGTACTACTCAGCTATAAAGGATAGATTCAAGGCTTTTATAGGTAAATGGTTGCAACTTGAGACCATACTCATGAGTGAAATAAGTCAGACTCACATGTCTAAACATTGAATCCTTAGTTTAAAAAGCTGAAAGAGTAAGCAAGAGCCAAAATGTATAATATTGTGAAAGGTGAAGAAACTTCTCAAAAGGAAAGAACACCTGGGATGGGGGGAAGGAGAAGGGAAGGAAGGGAAAAGAAAAAATATATATGTGAACACACACAAGATAGTAAAATAACTCTACTACTAATTTCCATTAGTTCATTGAAAAGAATGATTTGTGCTCATGCTGTTTAATTTTTCATATCTATATCTTGTAATCTGAGCAACTACTTTGAAGATAACAATACATAATATATTAACCATTGTTGATCCATTAAATTGTTTTGAATTTCTGTATCACTGTTTTTTCTCTTTAAAATAAAAAGTTTATTGCTGTGTCCAATTAAGATTTTGTGATGATTCAATATACAACTGATACAACTACCTTGGTACTTACTTACTATACATTTCAGTCTTTGCTGGTTTTTAACAACAGATTATTTAACCACATAAAACTGCTTCTTTGAGTAGCTGTCTCCTAGTTATAACCGCCAGATTTGATAAGCAACCAATACAAGTTTCCCAGTTAAAACTGTTTCAAACAAACAATGAAAAAAGTTTTAGTTAAAAAGTATCCTGTGCAAAAAAAAAAAAAAAAAAAGTATCCTGTGCAATTTTTAAAGCATTTATGCAAAAAATTATTTATCTAGAAGTTGAACTTAACTGGGCACCCTGCATGTACCTGGCAAGCCTATCCCATGCAGGAGGCAGGACAGACATCTCCACGGTAGCTGTGAGATAGTTCACGCGGTCGCTTCCACAATGCCAGGAGAGGAAGCCACGATTCACGTACAGATCTTCAAGAAGCACAGAAGCGCACTCTTCTCTCCGTGACACATTCACCCCGCTTAACAATAATGTGGTTCCCATTTGCTTAGTCCCTTTATGGAGAGAGAGTGGGCTTAACCCACCACCTTATGTTCACATCGGAGCTACCATAAAGAGAAGTAGCTAAGTCATTATCTTCATTCACAAATGAGAGTATCAGACAGATTGAAATAACTTTCACCCAATGGCACCACTAGAGAGAGCAGCAGAGCTAGAATTCAAAAACAGCCCTTTCTCTCCATAATATGACCCTTCCTCCAACTACCAAAAGCGTTTTGTTGTGGTTTTCTCAAAACTCGAGATGCCAAAGCGTATTTCCTGGCCTACCAGTTTGCCACTTTTCAATCCATTCCACCCATCTGTATGTGTGAATAACACAGGTCATGTTTGTTTTCTGGTGCCACAGCTGGGTGGCTTTAGTGATAGACACTTACATTCTCATAGCTTTAGAGACTGGATGTGGAGGCTAACATGTTTGCGGATGTTATGGCTTGGATCTAGATGTCCCCCAAACACAGACGTAGGTGGGGAGTTTCAAAGGTGGTTAGATGAGGGTGTGGGGTAGATAAGCCCCACCATGGGCATGGGTGGCACCAGCCAATAGGCTTACAGCCTGTGTGGAGCATAAAGGGAGAGAGGAAAGGCAGACTTGCTACTGGCTGCTGCCGCCCTCTGCCTGCCAAGCATGGACTGTGTCTCCTCTGTGATGCCCCTCTGCCATGCCACCCTGCCTCGGAGCCAGCCAGCTAGCAACTGAAACTTCTACAAACTATAAGCTGCAATCAACCCTTCCTCCATTAACTTGTGGGCGTTGGGTGTCTTGTCCCAGCAATGAGAAAAAGTAACTAGGACAGTGGGGTTGGTTCCTTAAGAGGCTGGTGAGAGAAGGCTCTGCTCCAGGCCCATGGGGGTTAATTTTGTGTCCATTTAGTTGGGCGGTGGGATATCCAGTTATCTAGGTAAACATTGTTTCTGAATGTGTCTTTGAGGGTGTTTCTAAAGGAGTTTAGCACTTGAATTCATGTACCTGGACGACCAGGTGTCCCTCCCCAGCGGGGAGTCTCACCCAGTCCACCACGGTCTTGAATCCACAAAAAACAGAGGAAGACTGAACTGGCTCCACTGACTGTGCCAATTCGTGGTTTCTCTCCTGCCATGGGCCAGGTCTTCCACGACAAGGACTCCTGGTACTCAGGCTAGAATGAGTTCACATGGCCAGTTTCCTGGACTCCAGCATATAGACAGGAGCTTATGGAGCCTTCCAGCCTCCACGATTTCATGAGCTGCCTGTCATCTTAAATTTTGTGTCTCCTCTTATTGCTTGTTTTTCAGGAGAATCATAATATAAGGCCCCTCCTTGTCTCTACATCATCACCTGTCTGTATATACCAGTGTGCAAATTTCCTCTTCTTAGGACATCAGTAATAGTGCATTATGATCCACCCTAATGACCTCATTTTAACAATCACTTCTGTAGAGATCCTGTTTCAAAGAAAGCCACATTCTAAAGAACGGGGGTTAGTACTTCAACAGAGGGGATAGAGGAAGTGGCTGATTCAGCTACAACAAGGCTTAGAGAGCTAATTGGGAGTAATTTCAATGCCATCTGCATTTTAAGGAGCCCAAGGGAAAGGATCTTATATGACGAGATCTTGAATACCAAATGGAACGTCACACCCTCGGTCAGAGGGACCCTAGCAACTGGCAGAATGCAGGTGATTATGAGGACAGGGAATTGTGACCACAGCCAGGCTGTGGAATCTGATGAAGTCAGACATTACTGCTTCAAAAGATGCCCCCTGGCCTAGGTTGGCCATCTTGTGGCTTCCTGAATGGCAACAGAGGACAGGGAGGTGATGGAAGCCCGGGGGGCAGGAGAAAGTTGTCCCACCTTCTCTAAGCTGGTGCCTGGTGACTCTACATCTGAAGGGAAGCCAAAGGTCATGTTGGTAAGAGGCAGACTCATCTCACTGGTCCCCCGCCCCCTTCTCCAGGGAAACCAAGAATGCTCCAGGAACGAACGTGTGGTAGGAGCTGAGTGCTATCAGACTTAGAGACTCCAAGAATAGGACCAGCACCCCTAACTAGCGCTCAGTTGTGACCAGGGGCCAGAGGCCTTTTACAAACATATAAGATCACTTGAAGCTATTTTTGGTCTCACTCACTAAAGGCCCCGTCTGAGGCTCTTTTCTCCCTGTGGATAGGAATCCCCCCCATATTCTTTTTGTTGGTTCCTGTATGCTTTGGTTCTTCCAATATAGACCCTAGATTTCTTCCTCTCTACATAGCCTCTATATCTTAAAGTTAGCTAGAATGGAGCCTTGGGAATGAGATTTGAAATTAACAGACACATCCCTCCTCCTACCCCAACGCCCCCCTTGCAACTCTAGATGCACCCTTTTTGGTAGCTGGCATTCTCCTCTGCAACCCTGGGTGTTGGAGACTGGCCTGCACCCCGGTTCCTGGTCCCTGCCCAGGTGCCACCCATGGGGAACCAGCCCATTCCTCCAAACTTCCCCACCCAGGTGCCACTTGCAGGGTAAACGAGGATGAGTGACATAGACACTGAGTTAATTTAGCATACAGGCAGCCAGGGGGCTCTGGCCTCTTCGAAGGCAGAGGTGCCTGCCTCCAGCTCATCCTGCTTTCATTCACCTAGACCTAGTCTCAAGCAATGACAGTGACACAGGTTCAGCTGCCTCCCGTTAGCCATTAACGTATCCTCAGGTAAACAATTTCGTCTCAGCTCTATTGACGACCTCCCGCTTTGTGCTCATAGATGGCCAGTTAAGCCTCAGGTCACCTAGGGCAGGGGTGCTGGTAACTTGGCCAAGTGCACTTCCAGCAAGACCCCAGGGCTGGACCTTCACAGCTGAGGACACTTTCCAACCTTCCAGGTCACTGTGGCTGGGAACTCTGGAGAGCAGTAAGATAAGGGCCACCCCAGACTGACTCCCCATTGTCCCTACACATGCTCCAGGAGCCAGAGTCCCTGAAACCAGACTCATCCTATGACTACCTGGAGGAGATGGACACTGGTGAGGACAGAGGCTGCCCAGGGCCCCCCAAGTCTGATCCCACCACCAAGGGCCAGGCAGGAGATGCACCAGAACCCACAGAACTGTCCCCAGCCCCAGGGACGGAGCACCCAGCCTCCCTGGAACTGGAGAGGTTGCGCATGGACTTTGAGCTGGTGAGACTCAAGCACCTGCACGAGGAGAACGAGAGGCAGCGGCAGCACGAGGCGGTGATGGCACAGCTGCAGCAGCAGAGGGCACCACGCCAGGTGGGTGAGGCATGGTGAGGCCTTCCAAAGCTCCCAAGTCAGGCTGAGACCTACCTGTCTAGCCAGCAGGGTTCCTAACAGCTTAGGGGAGGAGTCTCCATCATCTCAAGCCCTCTGTGCATCTTACGGAATGAGCCCAGGACCCCCTTGTGGTCCCCACCCCCCTCGCTCTGTAGGACCACACTGCCTGACAGTCAACACAAACAACAGTCTCTCCACAAGAAATGTATGCTCAAATTTCCACAAGAAATGTACGCTCCTCGGCATACTAAACAAGCATAAGAATGCCCACTTGAAAGCTGGGCACATGCCTGTAATCCCAGCACTCGGGAGGCTGAGGCAGGAGGGTCACTGCACTGCTTGGGAGGGTGAGTTTGAGAACAGCCTGGGCTAACTAGTAGATGAGATCCTGTCTCAAACAAACAAACAAATGCCTACCCGGGATGAAATGGAATGTGGAATCGTAATCAGAAAAGATAAACGGTGAAAGCAGTGTTTCCTAGGTTTTAAATTCAGATAGTCTTGGGTTAACAAGCTCTATTATGGCCTAACATCAGGCCAGTTACTGACCTCCAAGTCCTAGCAGCTCATACCTACTTCCTACAGTTGCTGTGAGGCTCACGTGAGAGGGTACATGTAAAGCTCTTTGCAGCGAGTCCAGTACATTAGGTAAGCACTCAATAAATGGTGGCTATTGCCATTTTTATGTACTCATGCAATTCACTTCTTGACCCAAATGCAGTGAGTTACATTCATCACTTTTAATTTTATTGGGGTGTAATGTATTAGTTCTGCTTCCCAGCTCTGAGTCAGCCTCAATGCTGAGAAACTTGTCCGCCCATCTTTATCCAAGCCACTGCCATAATCGTTGAGGAGGATGTGACTTAAAGTAAATGCCACTAAAAGAGCACACTGCAGGTTAGCAATGTTCCATTAATCAACACGTGGAGTTACATTTTATGTAGCTCACATTTCTGCAGCTTGGCCAAAACGCTGTTCTGAGATACATTGTCAAATTGTTTCCCAGAATTAAGATATTATGTTACGGGTAGCATTTCACCTCTTGATTGGTCTTTTTTTTAAGAAAATAGACTGGGTTTTGTAGGGCTTGTTCTCAATGAAGACACACTGGCTTCTTAACAATTACCCTCCCGCTTCTTGTTCATAAAATACCTGCTTAATTATACATTAAATAACATCAGTCTGCCAAGTCAAACTTACTGACCTTCCAGACTCTATCTTTTCCCTTTTTGAGAATACAGAAAATATTTGCCTGTCTCTAGCATCCTGACACATTTTCTGATATTTTTGAATTCTTATTCATTCCGTTTCAAATGTGTGGGTTTTCTCAATATCCTCAGTCACGAATTTGAGCCTGGAACTATTTAAAGTAGTTATGGTATTAAGCAATGCCTTTGGACTTCAACTCCTCCTAATCATATTTATTTGCTCTTTTAGTTTGAAAATTTCCTTACCAAATGGGATAGAAATCCTTGGTGCATACTCCTATCCACCTGTTGTCTTCTGCTCAAAAGATAGAACATTCTGAGAGTTCAAGTTTCTAGAGAGATTCACAAATTATGTGCTGTTATTAATATAATAATTATGCCCTCTCCAGCATTTCAGACCAAAACACTGCCATGAGGTGGCTAAGTACAGGGGCTGAAGCCAGTGACTGTCTGGAGAGCATCTTTCTACTCCTGCGAGAACACTGAAGGGTCCCCTCCTCTGGCCTTTGACCTTCCTTGATTCCCATTTTAGAGAGAATAGAACAGGACTCACTGTCTGTCCCTCTTAGTTTTTAGATGCCATCATATTTTATGTGGCTGTTCCAACAGTGGTTTGCCCAAGCCCCCAGCTTTTGGCAACAATATTACAAATGTTTTAGTACAGTGTGCGTCTATTAAACACTGGCTGCCTGATTTTTGAAGCTTCTCCTCATCTCTTTCTGAAGGTGAAGGGGAGTGGGGAAGGCTGATGGATTTCATTGTACTAAAAATAGTGCTTTGATTTTTACCAGACAGGGTAGCACAGTCCCTGCTATCTGGCTGTTTAGAAAAACTGTGTGTGATTTTTTAAAATTTTAAGATAAACCATGGTACCAGGTGGGTACCATGTGGGTTTGGGGAGCCTTATCGCTCAACTCTCAGCACCTGTCTCCAGGTGAAACCTTACCCTGTGCTGAATAACCATGTAACCAAGGACCCGGGGGCTCAGAAACAGTCATTTGTACCCAAGGCATGTCCTCTTATTGTGCCACTGTCCAGTAAGTGAAGTTGAGTGGCCAGGATACTGTCTAGAGAACATTTCCCAGACCCACGGTCCAGATCCAGGGATTCTGAAGACAGAGAAGATGCTCAGATGTAATTCAGATGGGCAGTGAGACATACAGAGAGATGGTGTTGGCTGGTAGCCTGGCCCAGAGGGAGAATTCTAGCTCTTGAGATTAGAAATCGGTGAGTTCCTCTGTGAGCCAGTAATACCAGAAAAGTCTTCATTTATTTTCTCCCCCTTCTTCTTCTTGTGAAGGGAGCGCTAGTACCTTAGGTGAGGACAATAACCCTCCAAGGTCACACCCAGGAAGGGACTGAGCAGGACGGACACAGACCTGACTGATGCCAGTGCTGGTGCTGCCCGCTCCACTGTTCTCTTTCCCCCCAGTTCTCAGGTAGCCTCCAGGACCTCCTGCTGCCTCAGAACCAGTTTGCCATGTTCCTGTTCTGCTTCATCTTTGTACACATAATCTATGTCACCAAGGAGATGGTCTTCTTCCTCTTCTCCAGGCACTATCTGTTCTGCATTGCCACCATTCTGCTGTGTTTGATTAAAACTTTATGGTCCTACTTCCAAGTGCCTTTGCTGTCTCCATCACTGGGAACCCCACACTAGAGAGTCGACAGGAGCAATCCATGTAAGCACCCAGTCTCCCTGGCTCCTCCTCCCCTCACAGGGCGCCTCCCTCCCACTGAAGCCTCCTCCTCAGCAAAGCTCTACCATCAGTCATGAACACCTTAGCGTGAGGAAACTATCTGTAGGAAGGGAGGGTTTGGTAAGGCTTTCCAAAATTGAAGAAGCACTCCATGACCAAGCTGGCTTGGATTCTACCACATCTATGCACACTCATATAGATTTTCTCTGAGGCATAGAGTCTGGGGCAGCCTGAAAGATACCTCCTCCCGCCAAAGATGTCCATGTCCCCAGAATCATGGATATCTTCCCTTACATGGCAACAGGAACTTGAAGAGGTGACTAAAGACTTTGAGATGGAGATAGGATCCTGGGTTACCCAGGTGATCCCAATATAATGACAAATATTATAAAAGAGGGGGACGGGAAGGTGAAGGGGAGAAGCCATAGAGGCAGAGGTCAGAGTGATATGAGGCCACAAATCAAGAGATGTGCACAGTTTCTGGAAAAGAACCTGGATTCTCTCCCAGAGCCTCCAGAAAGAACCAGCCCTGTCAACCCATTGTAGGCTTCTGACCTCTAGAATTATAAGAGAATGAATGTGTTGCTTTAAGCTACCAAGTTCGTGGTAACAGCAGTGGTAGGGAGCTCATCCAGGAGCCAAGACTCCCTAGCTACACAAATGTCAGAAGGTCATTAATAGGCCACTGGCCAGGTCTGCTGACCACTGGCCTGAGCAGGACAGTACATAGCTGGCCACCCAGGCCTGGCACCTGCCTTCAGACAATGTCTGATTTAAAAGGAGAGACACAACCCAGGTGCGGTGGTACACACCTATCATCCCAGCACTCTTGGAAGCTGAGACAAGAGCATAGGTTTAAACCCAGCCCCAGCTGGGGCGAATGGTTGGGAATGTAGCTCAGTGCAGAGGAAAGGATTCAACCCCCCAGTGCTGCCAAAGGGAAAGAGAGCAAGAGCTGCTAGTGCCCTGGGGAGCTCAGGACAGGCTTCTTAGAACCTGGTGGGAAGGGGTGGCCCTGCCCAGAAGCAGCGGTGTAGCAAAATTGTAAGGAGCGTAAAGAAGAATTAAGTACCCGACTGGACCCAGAGAAAGTCACCAGTGCTATTCTATCAGGAAAGTTAGAGGAGGAAAATACACACATACATACCACACACACACACAGAGCCCTGCTCACGCCCACCTACTAGCCCGAGCATGCACTCACAAAAATGCAGAAAAGCTAAGCCAGGAACAAATACTCAGACTTATGAGCACAGACACAAATCAATAAATGGCGTACCCAACCAAGATGTTCACAGTTCACAAATACACATGTGCAACAACCAGAGAAACTGACTGTGAACACAAGAGGCCAGGAGAAGGCGAAACACAGAGCTGCCCAGGGGACAAAGGAGTCCCTGCCACTGGCTCCAAACCCCTTCTCCGCCCCACCCTGCAGACTCTCAGCAGTTCTGGACCCCACCGGCCTGGCCCAGGTGGCTTCACCGGCTGACAATGCAGGGAGCTGGGCCAGTGTGCTCCTGGTGACCTCCCTTCTCCCCCCAGCATAAGCTCTGTCCTGAGAGGGATGAAAGGGCGTTTCCCCAGGTGTATGCTCCAAGTGCTGCTCAGCAAGAGCTCAAGAAACAAGCAAGGCTGCCTTGGGACTTCACAGCCAGCTCACATTAGCATGCATTTAAACCAAGGTGACTTCTTATTTTCCATCCAATTCAATGCATCCGCCCCCACTCATAGCTGTGTGTAACAGGTGCTTAACTCAGAGGTGACAAAACTCACTTCTCAAACTGTCAAGGATTTTGGCCCTGGGTTACTTCTCCAAATCATCTTATTTGATTCAGGTTTTTGTCAGGGGGTTGAGGGGAGAGAGAGAGGAGATCATCAGGACAGCACAATGTTTAGGAACCACCTGTTTACCTGGTTATTACAGACAGACGTGAGGGTACATACAAAGGAAAAAGCAAAACCAGGTGCTATAAGGTCATTTACTCAATTTGATGTTAGGAAAAAGTAGACTTAAATACTTTCATTTTCCTTTTTAGAAAAATCTTTAGACAAGGATTAGGTAACTCTCTAGGGTAGTTAGCAAGGCACCTCACACCCTTAGCCACAGAGGTGAGCTTTGCAAACCGCCCCCCCCCCATTATATTTGAAGGCTGAAGCCAGGAGAGTGAGAAGTGCCCTCTAGGAAAATGACAACATTTCTTGGTCACTCCTCAAACAGTTCAGGTCTCCTGATTGAACTGCAAAGCAGAAAATCAGGAGGGAGGAAAACGGAAGGGTAAGAAAAAGACCAAGCAGTGATGGCCAAGCAGGCGCCACACTGACACACAAGCACCTCTTGAGCACCTCCGCCATGCCAGGCACCGCTCTGCTCAGTGCTCCCAGAGGCCACCGTACCCAAGCCCTGGGGATTGAAACATCTATTACCCTCCCACCCCACCCCACCCCTACACACAGGAGGGTCCTGAGGGTCAGAGTCTGAATCCCAGCACCCCGCTTTCCCTGATCCCAGGACCCTGCCTGGAGGATCTTGGAACCTTCCAGGGAGGTAAGTTTAACACACAGGAAGGTGTGAAAGCTGTTGTAACCTGCTAACCAGTTCCCTTGCTGTTCTGTAAAGTGCAGATCCTCCCCCTCCCCCAACTGCTCCATAAAAGATGATAAAATTATTTGTCCTGATGGAGACATCTGTTCCAAGAAACGACCCACCACAAAAAACAACCTTGTACTTATGTTAAAAACATATTATGTATGTGAAAAGTCCCCAGGTCAAGCTGTACCCAAAAGTACGCTTGAGAGCTTTCCAAAGGACACCCACCGGCACAAACGACCCCCCTCACTTTGCAGTTTTTGCCTTCAAAATTTCAGACTCCTTCGCTCAGGGTGCTCAGTCTAGCAGCTGCCTGACTGACACCGCTGGGTACCAGCTAAAATAAAGTGCTTCTCTTTTTCAATTTTTTCTGTCTTGTTGTTTTTGAGAGTTGCCAACGGGGGAGTAGTGGCAGGGGTTCACTCTTGGAGTCTGGGGGTGCCACAAAAGCATTGTCAGAATATAGACCTCAGTCACCAAGGCGCTCAGGGAGGAGATGCCCTGGGGCGAAAGCCTCTCACAGAGCAGTCCACATGGGTGGGTGAGCCTGGATAGGTGCCAATGGGGAGGAATACCACGCACGTTAAGATGGCACCGGAATACAGGCTGAACCCGAGGAACAGGGTCATCCTTGCTCCAAAGGGTAAGAGGCCCAGAAAACTGGTTTGGGGCCTTGTTCTCTAGCTTTGAATGTTAGCCTGAAGACGATGAACTTACTCCCTTGGGAAATAAGCAGTCGCTGAAGATTGTACAGTGGGACAAGGACCAAAAGGACCTCCTCCCCCACTAATTCCTGGGGACCATGTTTTTGCCTCAACTTTCCCTTCCCATCTCCAGTCAAGGAATATTCTTTTTTTACAGTCCTGAGTTTGAGGGTTGCATTCAACTGTATAAGAAACCCAGCTGTGGTAACTTAACCACTAAGAAGTTTGTGTTTCCTACACACCAAAAGTGGCAGGTATCCATGTTGGCGAGTGGAACTCTTCTTGGAAATCACACAGCATGCAAGCTGCTCCTTGTCCGTCATCCTTAGCACACATCTTTTATCCTTTTGTGTGTGTGTGTGTGTGTGTGTGTGTGTGTTTCATTTTTATCAGTACCGGGGATCGAACTCACGACTGCCTGCTTGCAAGGCAGGCGCTTATGCCGCTGAGCTAAATCCCCAGCCCCACATCTTTTATCCTTACCTGACAGTTTTTGCCCTCCTTATCTGAAGATGGCTGCCACAGCCCTACATAACATGTCCACAGTCCCAAGTTCAGGGCATTGAGGGAAAAAATTCAGTTTCCTTTTAAAGGCTTTCCAAGGAGCCCTACAAAAGACTTCGGCTTCCACCTCATTGGTCAGACAGCGTGCAGGGCTTGAGGGCTGGTGAGGTTTTTGCCTGGACGCTACTACAACCTTGAACAAAATTAGGATTAGGATTAGTGGGGGACAGCGGAGACATATACACACAAATACATTACAAATACACGAATACATACACACAAATAACTGTGCTCACTATCCTCACTTTCATTTTTTTTAATAGTTTTTTGAGACAGGGTCTCACTAGGTACTCCATGTCAGCCTTGAACTCACTATGTAGCCCAGGCAGGCCTCAGACTCATGACCTTCCTGCTCAGCCTCCTATCTAAAGCTCACCCCCATTCCTTTCCTGAGCTGCTGAGCTACTGAGCATTAGTGGGGCTGAAGCAAACTGTGCAACACAGCTGTCACTGGTCTGGGCTTGGCCACAGCTGCACCTGCTACGGGGAAAGTACCACATGCCACAACTACGTACCACAGAAAAAGTCATGGCTTTCCTTGGACACACCCCTAGGGCTGCCCTGCCTGCATCCATCCTGACTGCTGCCTGCAGCCTCCTCCACTGCCAGGACAAGGCCTTGTCTGGGGCAGAAGTGCCCATCTCTTTTATGGGCACCCTCGCCTCGCTGCAAGAGGAAGTCATTTAGTGCCTGGCACCTTCCCCTGTCCCATCTTGTCCTGCTCCTAAATCCCACAGATTGACCCAGTGCCATTTAGGGGTTCTGCTCAGCCTCCCAAGGTCCCATGCTGAAGACTGTGTACCAAACAGGGCACATTACAGAGCTGCATTCAACTTTGGCCCAAATAAGGACACACTGATAGTAAGATGCCAGCAGGCTTTGGGTGAAAAAGACACAAATCCTGTATGCTCCCCAAGGGCAGTGCATAGGTTTGCAGCCCCACAATGAGGACTGGCTGGAGAGGGGAGACTGCTGGCATCCATAGGAGGGCCAGGGGAGCAGGCTGGGTTCAGTTTACAGGTGACCTTAAGCAAGCCAGCCAGTATTTCTAGACTTCCCTCAT